TATATGTTTTAATATCTTGATAAAAATTCAAACTTTAATGTCTATAAATGGCCCGAAACAGTATAAGTTCTTGAGATATTAATTTGTATTATATGCTTGGGCAATAAGCTTGATAATTAAGATAATGTCTTATAATTTGTTGAGAAAAGTAAAAAATACAAAACATAAAAATTGAACGTTGTATTTTCAATAAGAAAAAAAAAAGTTTACAGCGAAGTAATAAAAATTATTTTTTTCTGTAAAGGGGAGACAGAGTAGTTTTTTTCGTAATATTTATTAAAGAAAAAGAAGAAAAAAAAACATTTGCAATCAAATGCATTCTTAAAAGTAACAGAAACATATAAAAATTGATCTGATCTGATACTTTATAAAAACGCTTTTTTTCGTAAATTTCGTTTTTAACTCGAATTATAATAATTTTCGTATACATCCTAAAAACTAATAATTAATTGTGATTCGCTAAAATGTCAAGAAGCAAGACTTTCAAATTCAAAAACATTATAAAACATAAAAGTTCTGGTTTAAAACGCAATGTTTAAATTTTGAAAAATATCAACTCTTAATAAAAACTTAAAAAATTTTTAAATTCAAAATTTTTAATGTATATAATTTCTAATAATCAATATTTTTCATACATGAACATAAAAAACAATATGTAAAACCTGTATGCTGTAAATTTCAACTGAAATTAAACTCAAATTAGTCACTACAAAAGTTAATTTTTTAATCTAAGATTGTGTAACAAAAACATTGTTCTATTTTTAAAATATCTGTGAGTTAGAAAAGTTATTTCAAATTTCATACAATTTACTTTCTGCCAGTTTTTGTATTTTTACAATAAGCTCATGAAACAAAAACATCGTCTTGTTGGGAAACTTCAGCGACAGTGTTTATTTGAATTTAAATACAATTAAATTTCTATAAAAATAGTATTCCAATAACAAGAAGATGTAAAAAATAGATTGTCTTGTTGTGAAACCTGTGAACTCGAAATTTTACCATCATTCATCACAATTTATTCTCTATAACATTTTGCATCCAAACAACGATAATTTCATGTAACAAGAAACACTCTCTAAGCGTCATAGTGACGAGAGTATTCTTTTTAAATTTTAGATATTGAATTTAAACACAATTCAATTTCTATAAAAATTGTATTCTAATAAGAAGCAGATGTAAAAAATAGATTATCTTATTATAAAACCTGTGAGCTGTAAGTTTTACCCAAAATTCAATACCATTTATTATCTGTAATATTTTGCATTCAAACGATAATTTTATGTAACAAGAAACACTGAAGAACTGTTGGAGATATGACTCTTGTGATTCTTATTTAAGAGATGAAAGTGATGAAGAGGATTACATGGCCATAAGAGACAGGGAAAGCGATGATAAAGCTGGAAACAACATAAAAAAGAAAGGCTGTTTTGTTTTCCTGTCAAGAGTGTTTAACAGGTTGTTCAAAAAGAATTAAATTTTGAACATACCATCTTTAAACACTGAAGAAAAAGTTTTCAACAAAATTCGCAAATTTCTATAGTGCATTGTTGTAAAATTCAAATTCAAATTTTTTTTTTTTTAAAAATTGAACACTATAGCATTGTTGTAAAAGTCTTATATCTACGAAACTTTGCAACTTAATTTAATATATTCTGGTGAAAATATACGAACTATAATTTTGACATCAAAGAAACACAACAGAAGTTAACATTGTTGTGAAAGTCTTATATCTGTTAAAATGTATAACATTTAATATGTTCTTGTGGAACTTTTAAAAATGTAATTTGGAAAACACGGAAAATTAATTGGACATCAAAAAAGCTGTGAAAGTCTACTAAAGTTATATTTGCTAAACTTTGCAACTTAATTTAATGTATTCTGAAGAAAATTTATTTAAGAACTGCAGTTAGAACATCACAGAAAAATTATTGGACAACGAAGATTCTATCTGAAAGTCTTATATTCGCTGACCTTTGTAATGTAAAATATATTCTGAGGAAACTTTAAGGACTGTAATTTAGACATCACAGAAAAGTAATTAGATATCTAAAAACATAACATCGTAATGAAAGTTCTACATCTGCCAAACTTTGTAACTTTATTTAACATATTCTTGGCGAACTAAACGTAAAAGGAACGTAATTTGGATTTCAGAGAAGCATAACAGAACATTCCAAAAGTTAACGTTGAGCTAACGGGATGATCAAAGTAGATAACATTGAAAGACTTATATCTGCCAGAATTTGTAACTTAAATATATTCTTATGGAACTTTAAATCTTGCAATTTGAACATCGAAGAAACATAATTTGACATCATCGAAGATAAAATTGTGATAAAAGTCTTACAATTTTTTGAAACGTGCAATTCAATTCAATTCTTTGTTATGATGCAATAGCTTAAGATATATAAATTGAGTATCACCGAAAATAAAAAAAAATAAAAATTATAATAAGTGTCTTTTTATTTACATGTTGAATAAGTAAGCATTTATTGAATTTACATTTCATAAGTTAAGCTTAAAAATAATGTGTATTAATATTTCATTTTTTTTAATACTTAAGGATTTAACGCTTGTACAGCCTAGGTAACTTAAATAAAAAATAATATGCGTCTTTTTATTTACATATGGAATAAGTAAGTATTCATTGAATTTAAATTTCGTATGTTACGCTTAAAAATAATGCATATTAATACTTCATTTTTTATAAATACTTCAGGGTATAAAGCTTGTTTAGCTAGGTCAACTAATTTATAATTTATTGAAAATTCAGGCTCAAAATCTATAGAATGACAAAGAAAGTTTTAGTTATGGCTGACAAATTTCTTTGTTTGACTTTATAGCTAAAATTCAGCACTTATTTCAGTGTACGGTTAGTTGCTAAAAAAGAAAACGTAAAACGGTTTTTTTTCCTCCAGTTTTTCATAATTCAGCTTCAAATTAAAATAGAAAAGTATACTATCACTTTTATATTTCATAGTGTAATAAAACATCTAAAAGTTATATGTAAATGAAGCGTCAAATTTAATGGATATTCTATGGAGCCATGAAGGAAATTTTTTTTCTTTTATTTAGCGTTACAATTCATTTTAAGGTGAGCGTTAATAACTGTTAAAATTGAGTACGTGAATCAGCGATCAGAGACTATTCGCGTTGTTCGCTTTTTTGTTTTGCGCTCAGTACATAACTAACTAAACTATATTTTTTTAAAAAAAACGCACTTTTCTGAGAAATAATTTGGGCTGAAATTCGCAATTGAGTACTTGCACTATAAGAAGAAAAAGAGAACCGATACCAACCCATATGATCAGCTAATCTTTATCAGCAAAGTGGTGCATTAAAGTTTGTTTAGCTAAGTTTCTCTACTTAACTTCAAAGTTCAAACGTTAATTAACTTTAAGTTAATTAAACATAGAGTCGTATCACGCATCTAATTTGTTGAAATATAATTCTTTCTCGTCGTCTTCTTTTACTGAACTTAGATTTATTATTTATGTACTTTATTGTACTGTAATATAATTTTTACTTTGTGTACCTGGCAACGTCGATGCATAATAAGTTTGTTTATGTTCTGCATGGCTTCGTGTAGATATATAGTGAAAGAATTGAAATCTTTTTGAACGAATATAGGCTGTGTTACTTAAGAGAATTGGTATTTGACAGGCCTGACTTACTCGAAATAGAATGGAAGGAACAGTTGCTAAAGTAAACAAATGTCACGCTTCAACAACCAATCAGGATCGAGATACTCACACTACGTCACTTGCAAGTAGGGTAAACCAACCAGTGAAGGAACACTACCCAGTGAAGGAACATTTCATATATATTGATTAAAAATAAGAATTTGAAAGTTTTTTTTTAGATTGATTGGTAACAATAGCTTACTGCCAAACAATAGGAAGTCATCTAGCAATATTTTAGATTACCTGGTCAAATAGACTGCTCTGGAAAAAATTTTGAATCTGTTATTATCTCTGCAACACCTTATTTCATTGAAAAAATTATAAGGTGAGTGTTTGTATTTAATTGTTTGAAGTGGAATTAATTGCATGTAGTAGTCTTATTTTTCTCACTGTGAAAAAGAAAATTCAAAATATAGTTATTGAAGTTATGTTTTGTTTTTTTTAAAGCACCATAGCATAATCAAGTACTGAGATAAGGGGGTGTTCCTTCACTGGATCACCAAACGATGAAAAACCAGTGAAGGAACAAGTGTTTCTTTACTGGNTTTTTTCTCTTCATTTTCATGCATTGTCATCCAATTCTAAACTATGTGCCAAATTTGAAGTTTGTAGCTAGTCGGGAAGTTAGTTTAAAATCGATTACAAAATTCCACCCGGACAGACATACACGAAGGCAAGTTTATATAAACGTGGTAAAAAAAGAGAACCGATACCAAACCATGTGACCAGCTAATCTTTATCAGCAAAGTGGTGCATTAAAGTTGAGCTAAGTTTCTCTATACTTAACTTCAAATGTTAATTAACTTTAAGTTAATTAAATGTAGAGTCGTATAGCGCATCTAATTTGTTGAAATATAATTCTTTCTCGTCGTCTTCTTTTACTGAACTTAGATTTATTATTTATATACTTTATTGTACTGTAATATAATTTTTACCTTGTGTACCTGGCAACTTCGATGCATAATAAGTTTGTTTATGTTCTGCATGGCTTCGTGCTTGTCTTTGAGTAGATATATAGTGAAAGAATTGAAAACTTTGTGAACGGATATAGGCTGTGTTACTTAAGAGAATTGGTATTTGACAGGCCTGGCTTACTCGAAATAGAATGGAAAGAACAGTTGCTAAAGTAAACAAATGTCACGCTTCAACAATCAATCAGGATCGAGATACTCACACTACGTCACTTGCAAGTACTCCATTTTCAAAACGAGTTAACATAAGCATAGAAAAATCGGTTGCCCGGCTCTATAGAGTTGTAAGTCACCTTTTAATCAAAGCTAAAACAAAGAATCTGAAGTTAAAAGAAAATAGAATTTTCAATTTGAAATAGTTATTCTAATTAATAAGATCATCTCACCTATCCTTTAAAAATGTCGCCTTCACCCAATTCCAATTTGGATTTGAAAAACGAATTTGATGTAGTGTGTCCGACTTGCGGAGAAAAGGTTTACAATGGTGAAGAAAATTTTTAAAAATCATTAGTTTTAAGACTATTTTTTGTCAGGCATGTATAGCTCATTACAATAGCCTTTTAACGTGAATGCAGATTAAATTATAATTATGCTTAAAAGATTCGTTTCATATAAGTTCGCTTTTAGGAAACACAAAATTGGATAAAGAGTAGAATCGGAGATCCCTCTGATATTTGGCGATTTAAAAGCATGCCTATGCATATGAAAATAAACCAAGAACCAACCACATAAAGGTAAATAGAAATTGTGATAACCAGATGCTGACGTCATTAAAAGCAGAAACAGTAGGCAAAGAATATCATGGTAACCATAAACTGAGTTTCAGCAAAATTTTACAATTGAAATTTGTCGCCATACCAAGGGGCCTCCCGGTTCTACACTTAAACCTACACATTTTTGATAAAGAATTCTAAAATTGAATAAATCAATTGTGCTTTTTATTTTAAAGTAACCTTATTTTGTTGTTTGTTTATGAAAATAAGCGTACAATTAAAACTTCTTACCACTTAAATACTTATCTTTAAATAGATTGTTTGCAGCTAGTCATGAATTCCATTTTCACAAAACTGTGGTTTTTCTTCATATTGACGTTTTGAGCCATTTTTTTTGAATTAGCATAGAGAGAACTGGATAAAAATAGGGTAAACTTGACATAACAATCACGTTGCTAAAAACTTAAGATTCCAAATTTAGACACCTTAATGTAAGTTCTACTTTTTTTGCGAATTTCGCCATATCTTGATAAAGTTTGAAGAGAACTGAAACATTTTTGTCCGCAATTATAAAATTCGGTTAACCAAAGATAATTCCATGCAACAAATAACGTTTAGAAAATATTTATATAATGATCGTACATTTTTTTTTTGCATCATTTTAAAATTTTTTATTTTACATGTAAAAATACAAAATTTGAGTGAAATTGGTAGAGTAGTTTCTGAGAAATCAAATTTTGAAAGAGTTGTATTTCTAAAAATTGACTTCTCAGGAATTATTCAACCGATTTCCCTCGAATTTTGTATTTAGCTATGTTAAATTAAATACTTTGAAATGGTATAAAAATTTCATACCTTACAATTTGACATTTTTTAGACTATTATTAATTAAAATAATATATATTTACTAAAATTTACTTTTTGCATAGAATAATCTTTGACTATACGTATTTTACATATGTGTGCAAAAAATTCTTCAGTTCGCTTCAAACTTTATCAAGATATGGCAAAATGTAGAATTAACATGAAGGGGTTCAAACTTTGGAGTGCTCTCCTGACCAGGCTATTTTGACCATATTTCCCAAGTTATGGTTACCCCCTATATTTTGGGGGTCAAAAATCCAAATTCGTCGAAAAAAAAGGTATGCTTATTAAGATAAAGTACGTTTTTGTGTCCGATTTCATAACTTAAAATATCAAATGCACTTATTAATTAGTATATTTGAAGTTATCCCCTCGAGCCATTAAGATTGAGTCCTAGAACGCGAAGATCGAATCATTAGATTAAAAGTTATTTAGTGTGTTGGCTTTTTTTTAATATTATGTGCAATATGTTCAACCATGCAATTCTTGATTACAGCCGAGAAAGTGATTTTCATGAAGCGTTTGTGGCATAGAAATTGCCTGCGTTGTTACAAATGCAATAAAGTCCTCGAGGCAGTGAAGGCTTACGTAGTAAGTTTTTTATTTCTGACTGAAATTTTGTCATTGAAATCCTTTTTAATAAAAAGCAAAGAGCAAAATTCCTTCAAATTATCTTCATTATATGGATATCACAGTGGTGAATAATAAGAGCAACCGTAACCTCCACTCTAAAGGCAACTTTACAGTTAAGAGTTGCACTACCAAAATTTAAAAATACTACTATTAATATGTTTTGAAAAAACATGTGAATACATCAAAAAATTAGTATTTCTCATAAAGCTTCTTAATTCAAAGCAAAATAACTAAAATGAAAGAAAATAAAAAAATTATGCCTCTACTCTCAACAATCAGTGCTTTTTCTTTTGTTATTATTGTCGTTGGCCATTAAGACAGAGGGTGTGCGATCGTTCTTCTTTTCCCGTGGCACCAAGAACCATGGCCAAGAATTTGACTTCTGCCACACCCATACGTTACACCTGTTTACAGGGTGGACCTACCATTCATTCATGCTCAGATCGTAATTTGACCTGAACTGGAGAACAATCAATCTCCGATTCAGTATCCAAGAGGTAATGATTTGTTGTGGGAGCATGGTGAACTTTGTGACCTGACTGATTTAACGTGAAACCAGTCAACCATTTACTACACGAGGAGTTTTCGGCCGGCCAGATTCGAACTCCCTTTCTCACAAACGTGAGTCCAGCGCCCTGCCAGCCGAGCTATCCCGACCAATAAGAGATCTTAATACATGAAAATAAAGGAAAATAGTGTCAGGGTTCGATTTCTCCTTTTCTTTCCCTCCCAAGTCCGAATTTTTGATAGTTCAGTCAAATAATTTTCATGGTTTAGGTTGGTTTCAGTGCGAAATATGATGGTTGCCATCATCCAACATTTTCCTTTATGTGTTCTTCGTTTTTGATCTCCCCACAATTTTCCATCATTCCATGATGGATGATACTACTTTAAAACTATGATGGTTAACCACCAAGAGAAGTTCAACTTCCTTGGAACAACAATTTCTGATGGTCCATGATGGTTCCAACTATACATTTTCATGATGGTTTAATGGGAGAATTCTTGTTAGTTCTCAGAAATATACCATAAGAACAATTTGGGTTTTCTTTATGTTGGACCATTACAAAGCAGTCCGAATTCCTACATTGGGGTGATGGTAGCACATGATCGTTACAATATTTGATTTCTAAGAAACTATGTAGGAAATGTCTGATGGATCAGCATGAACAAACCATCAAAACGAGTAGCTATTCTTCTGTTGGACCATCATAAATCAGTCCAAATTCCTACATTGAGGTGATGGTCACTTATGTTGTTTACCATCAAAAAATATAATGGCTCATGATGGAATAATTATGTTGGTCCTTCAATGGAAAACCATCAAAAATTTTTACTTAGGCTTTGTTTTATTCATTTATATACATAGCAGTGTTATGAAATATTGTCTCATGTTGCTAATTAATTTCAGGATGAAGGCAAACCCTACTGCCCAAAGCCTTGCTATTACAATCGAGTGTTAACTAAAGGTACGAAACGATTGCATACTTACATTTTAATAAACCATTTTGTAAATTTTTCATAGTTTTATTTTAATAGTCAGCGAAAAAGAATGCCGAAATTACAAAATAATATTATATATAAATAAAATTTTTTTAATTCCTGGCACTTGCGTCTATTTGCCAATGACCTCAGAAATGCCAGAATTGATACTCTATTATCGATACCCAGTGGGCACATGCGGCTAAGACGGTGGAGTGGCGTCGCCCTCGTCATACAATCACAAACCCGTTTATAGGATGGGTTGCAATCACACAGAAGAAAGAACATAAAGTACACAGAGAGAGAAAGTTACATCCATGCCAACGGTGGGATTTGAACTCACAACCACTGGCCCCTTAGTCCTATACAGTAACCACTATTATAATTGATATAGACATATATTTGGTACGAATACAGTAATAAAGGTGCAAAATAAATTTTCCACTTCAATCTGTTTCTTTTTATGCGCACGTTCGATAAACATCAAGCATAATTCATCGTACAATTAAAACTTCTTACCACTTAAANCCCAATTTCTTCTGAAGCATCTCTGTTACAGTTAAGGATAAGATACCATTATTTAGTGGCTTTGTGAGCAAAATCTTTATGATGTCATATTTATTAAATTTCGCATATTTCACACTTGATGTTTGTTACCGCTAAAGCTTGAAAGCCGTTAATGTTTACGCACTACCTAGCTAATTTGAAGATTAATAAGAGTAATCTGTTAAAGTACGGAGTCAAATGCTTTCCACAATTTACCAAAGTTAATGTGTCCATTAATGGTTTGTGTATCAAAAAACAGCAACAAACATGCAAATAAATGGCCTCGTGTAAATTTTCTCAATTGTAATATTTTAAACTATTCAATTTTTGGTATTATAATTTTTTAAAGTGATTGGTTCCATAAATTAATGTGTCGGACCCTTGGTAAATCAGGGGATGGAGAGTTCGCCTTCCATTGAGGTGAACCGGGTTCGAATCCCAGCTATAGCTGGTCGATACGCATTCCGTACGCGTCTTACAGTGCGAATCATTTTGAAATGAAGTCATTTCCATCATCAAATCAAATGATTTCCCCAGAGCTGACATAAAATATCCTCAGTAGTTGACGGATCATGGGGTAAAGTTTTCTTGCCTTCAGGCTAACCGTGGGAGGTTGTAGTGGTTATCCTCTCCTTGTAAAGCAAAAGCTGGTTAGTTCTAACAAACAGTCCCATTCGAAGCTAAATTTCTCCCAATATTTGATCCAGGAGTTCCCTTGTCTTCTGAATCAGGTTCAAAATTACAAGACTACGGAGTTGAACATTAGTAGTCGTAAACCCAAAAAATTGGGTCTGCTGTTCTACGATGGTTATAGAATAAAATTAATATATCGATGATAGTAACTTAGTTTTTTTNAAATTTTTCATTGTTTTATTTTAATAGTCAGCGAAAAAGAATGCCGAAATTACAAAATAATATTATATAAATAAAATTTTTTTAAATTCCTGGCACTTGTGTCTATTTGCCAATGACCTTAGAAATGCCAGAATTGCTACTCTATTATCGATACCCAGTGGGCACAAGTGGCTAAGACACGGAGGTGGAGTGGCGTCTCCCACGTCATAGAACCACAAACCCGTTTATAGGGTGGGTTGCAATCACACAGAAGAAAAAACATAGAATACACAAAGAGAGAAAGTTACATCCATGCCAACGGTGGGATTTGAACCCACAACCACTGGCCCCTTAGTCCTATACAGTAACCACTATTATATAAATAAATTGATATAGACATATATTTGGTAAGAATACAGTAATAAAAGTACAAAATAAATTTTCCACTTCAATCTGTTTTTTTATGCGCACGTTCGACAGACAGCAAGCATAATTCATACCCCCCCCCCAATTTCTTCTGAAGCATCTCTGTTACAGTTACGGATAAGATATCATTATTTAGTGGCTTTGTGAGCAAAATCTTTATGATGTCATATTTATTAAATTTCGCATATTTCATGCTTGATGTTTGTTACCGCTAAAGCTTGAAAGCCGTTAATGTTTACGCATTACCTAGCTAATCTGAAGATTAATAAGAGTAATCTGTTAAAGTACGGAATCAAATGCTTTCCACAATTTACCAAAGTTAATGTGTCCATTAATGGTTTGCGTATCAAAAAACAGCAACAAGCATGCAAATAAATGGCCTCGTGTAAATTTTCTCAATTGTAATATTTTAAACTATTCGATTTTTGGTATTATAATTTTTTAAAGTGATTGGTTCCATCAATTAATGTGTCGGAGCCTTGGTAAATCAGGGGATGGAGAGTTCGCCTTCCATTGAGGTGAACCGGGTTCGAATCCCAACTATATCTGCTCGATACGCATTCCGTATGCGTCTACAACAGACCCCAGTGCTGACATAAAATATCCTCAGTAGTAAACGGATCATGGGTTAGAGTCCTCTTGCCTTCAGGCTAACCGTGGGAGGTTGTAGTGGTTATCCTCTCCTTGTAAAGCAAAAGCTGGTTAGTTCTAACAAAAGTCACATTCGAAGCTAAATTTCTCCCAATATTTGATCCAAGAGTTCTCTTGTCTTCTGAATCACGGGTTCAAAATGACAAGACTACGGAGTTGAACATTAGTAGTCGTAAACCCAAAAAATTGAATCTGCTGTTCTACGATGGTTATAAAATAAAATTAATGTGTCGATGATAGTAACTTAGTTTTTTTTTAGATATTGAAAAATAAATTAATAAAATGTTATGTTAATTTAAGCATGCAGAACGTTGCTGTTGATCCAGAAAACATCTTATTTTCACTTAAAAGAGTGCCTGTAGTATGTAATGTGCTGATTTTACTTGGGTAATGAGAGAAATGAAGCAGCATTTTGAAACCTTAACGGATCATCCTAGTTAATTTGCACGATAGCTAGATATATAGAATAACTGATTTCTACTCCTTAACGTTAATTAAAAAAAATGCCTTTTAAGAGAAACATTTAACAGATTCCTTTATTATATCGTAGATTATGAGGCAAAAATCATTTTCGTCGTATGTTATGTTGAAAAGGATTTTTGCCTCTTTAGAAAGGTGACCAGCGTCCTCGGAAAAGTAAAAAACTGGTATCAAAATTTATAATGGAACATTCAAAAACTCAGCTTTAATCCTTTAAAAAAATTATTTCTGTTCAAGAATCCCTGCGAGGGATTTTTGTTGTCGTTACTTATGCTACTTTTTATTTTATATTTCATTTTGTAACCGTCGTTGAACAGCAGACCCAATTTTGTGTTTACGATGTACAACTCAGTAGCCTTGTAGTTTTGAACACAACCCAGAAGACAAGGAAACTCCTGGATCAGTACCCCACAGGTACTGATTTGTGACCACGACAATTTAACGTGCATCAGTCACCATTTACTTCACAGGGAGTCTTCGATCCATGGAATTCTAACTCACTCTCACACGAACACGAGCCCACCGTTCTACACGAGCCATCATGAGACCAAGTTTTACCATCCCAATAATAAATTAGAAAGTTAAAACAATGAGTTTTTAAATATCTGTAAAAAAGTTTTATAGTTCGTTCACCAGGAGTTTGCACTTTGCTCCACCTCCTCTGACGAAGAGTTCATTTCAGCGCGGGAGTTAGAGGAGAAACGCATCCACATTTGAAATTTAGACAACCCTTAAAACACGCCAAACGCAAACAGAAAGTTATTTTTCAATCACTTACCTCACTTTATGATCAGCTATTATGCCCTTCGTTACTCTAGCTAAATAAATATATTTGTCGCAAAAAGTACAAACTATTCACTCAAAATAGAGAAATATGAAATTTATGAAATATTTAATGTTAAAAAAATGCACATGAAGATAGCAAAATAAATGTTTTTGTCATATGATAGCCTAATAGCTATCGTGTTCAGGATGGTTCACATCCTTCTCCCAAAAATAACGAAATAGTATGGTCGGATACCGGTTGATGAAGGTGGAGCCAAGTGCCAACTCCTGGTGAAGGAACTATACGAGTGTTTAGAAGACGCTATAGTCAGCTTACTCATAAGGATTATTTTTTTTTCTTCCTGCAGGATATTGTCGGCCATCTTATTCATGAATTCCTTCATTTCCAGTTCATCCAAGCAATAAATACGAAATTTAAAATGTTTCTGTTGCTAGTCGTACTCAATAGTTATTCTCTAAATTAAATAATCATGTGAAATAATAAGCCTCATTTCACTGCAAACCTTTTGATGGTTCGTAATTACCCATTTTAGCATTTTGAGGCAAATCTGAAAATAAATATCAAATTTCAATTATAGTTTTGTAGAATTATTTTAGTTTGACTCTTTGCTTTCTTTTTTTGTTGCTGTTTGTGTAGTTACCACAAAAACAAATAAAAGTTACTGTAACTCGTGTTGTATTTTGCAGAATTATAATTCTGCAGAATTATTTCAGCTTGACTCGTTGCTATCTTTTTTGTTGCTGTTTGTGTACTTACTATAAAAATAAATAAAAGTTACTGTAACTCGTGTTATATTTTGCAGAATTATGACTATGCAGAATTATTTCAGCTTGACTCGTTGCTATCTTTTTCTGTTGCTTGCGTAGTTATTGTAAAAATAAATTAAAGTTACTGTAACTCGTTTCTTAGTATAGTTTAACCAAATGGTTAAACTACCAAGTAAGCATGTATAACCTTACGGCAACCTTGTGTCGGAATTTTCTTTTTATCGTCACGAAAATGTTTGTACTAAAAATCTTTTTTCAAATAAAGCAAAAATATTGCAGTTTAAAACTTTCCTCCTAAAAGGATTAAAAATTATTTTTTAAAGCTTTTATAAAAGTATTGTAACTTATGTCCATAAAGACGTATTAGCTGGCGTCACACTAGCGGTAAGATCAAATTGTCCATTAAAATTTCATGTCCATGAAAATTTCATTTCATGAAATTTCATTAAAATTTCATGTCCATTAAAATTTCATGAATGGATTTCAGCTTATAGTCCATTCCAGCTTAAGTTGGCACTGCAGGGAAGGGTAGGAAATGTAATACTCCGCATTTGGAAAGTAGTTTTTCGCTATTTTGGAATTAATTGCAGTTTAAATGCGTGTACAAATATAAATAAATGTTGTATAGTAAAAAAAGTTTATCTTGAAACATGCATTAGAAGTTTTTCATGTTTAAATGTATTTAACTTATAAATACCTTCTCAGTAAAGCGAATGTACAAAGAAGGAGGTGTTTTAGTTTGGCGCTGGATTAGTTTTCAAGGCCAAGGAATTGGCGCGTTAGGTATGTTTTTACACTGGTCAGCCAGCTGTTTCCATTCTCCTTGCCTTTGCTTAAGTGTCCTATCTCTTGTGCAGTTCTTATTTCGCTTTCTTTTTGTATTTGACTATTTAATTTTATTAACATCATGTGTACAACATTTAATGAAAAATTTTTCCCCTTGAGAATGAATGAAAAAAAAAAAAACCAAATACACAGGTGAATATTATTAAACTGATGGCATTTGAGCATATTTGCTGTGTAGCTAATACAACATGTGATTTTATTATTATTTTTTTACGAAAGTAAAAATTGTTTTCGTTTTATTCAATCTCTGTAAAGATTCAAATTTTGTGTCTTTTGCGCCATGTGTAGCTCTGAAGTACAATTCGCTTTTTATAGGAACTTTAATAATGTCATGGCGGAAATTTAAGATTTTTAGTTTGTTTAATTAAAGGGACTTCTAAATATTATCTGAAATACAAATTCCATAATATAAGTGTGCAAATCCGTTAGTTGTAAACTAATAAAATGTATAGGAATTGAAATAATTTCAAAAAAGACACAAAATTTGAATCATTAATTTTTTTTAAATATCGAAGGGTTAATTTAAACCAATCAATATTTTAATTATTATTTTTAAAATACAAAGCCAAAAAAGCGGAGAAATTCTTTCTCTTATGTAGAAAATATTAAGATATTCAGTATCTGACAAAATATTTCGAGACTAACTAATTCTACTATACTTAAATAACTAATTTTACGGATTTTTCTCTTAAATCTCCTTTCACCCGCAAAGATCCTGAAAAGTAAAGGAAGGTTCTAATATTTTAAAATATGTATTTTCTTTTGAAGAAATGCGCCTAACCACCCAAACAGAATTTCTCCTGATGAGAAATTGTGGATTGAATTCAATTCAGGGCGACTCCACAAAGAGTTTGCAGAAAGAACTGTCAACTGTTAAAACATTAAATGAATAACATGATAAGCACCAGGATAGGTGTTTATCGTGTTATTCAAAGAGTTCCTGTTGAGTCTAAGAGGGTGGGATATGGCAGCTGAAAACATGGGGGGGGGGCGTACAAGCAATACTCGCCCCCCATGTGGATAATATTAAAAATCCAAATTTATACCATTTTTGAGAATTATTTTTTTTGGTAAATTCTTTTGTCTCTTAGAAGCAAATATATTTCAGAAAAAAAAATTTTATAGTAAAAAAAAAACTTTTCTGAAAAAAAAAATTGAATTTTTTATTTATAAAAAAAAATGAACAGTAAATATTAAAAAAACATAGATATGATATTTTTCATGATCAATGATTTCCTGCCTATGTTGACTTTTTCTTCCCCCACAAAGCACCAATGAGGGATAAATTAATGTACATTAATTTACAAGAAATAAGCATATAAAAATAAATATTTAAAGCACGTATTGATGCTCATCTATCCATTTCCTTTTTTTTACTTAGATTTCCGCAAAAAAGAATCTTTTTAAATATATTTTTTTTTGCTTAAAATTAGTTTCGTTTAATTAAAAAATCATAATAATAGGAAAAAAAGAACAGTAAATATTATGAAGCATAAGTATGATTTTGTTCCTGATCAATAATTTCCTGTACTGCTGATTTTCCCCATCAAAACACCAATGTGGGATAAATTAATGAACATTAATCTTCAAAATATAAGCATATAAAATAGATTTCAGCGTAAAAGATATATATATATATATTTCTGTTGTTTAAAATTAGTTTCGTTTAGTTAAAAAATCAAAATAAGAAAGTCTGCTTTTTAAATACTAATTAAGAAATCAGCTTACAACTACTATCTTAAAATAATAATTATTAGAAATGCTCTAAAAAATCGTGTTCTTTTCCTTATTCTGTTCAAAATTTTAGAACGATTCTTGGTTTAAAAAAAATATCGGCGTTTTGCTTACTTAAACGCCAATACTGGCCACTTTCTCTCCCTTTTTTGCTACCTCATCCCTCAACTGACTTAAAGAGTAACCCAGTTTCCATCACAACGGCTGTAATCCGGTCTCTTTCTCTCCAGTGCCAACTTAAGGTTTTGCATACAAGGCTTTGCCATAAAAACTCGTATACCATAAAAACAATTAGGGTTTTCTTTATGTTGGACCATCACAAATCAGTCCGAATTCCTACATTAGGGTGATGGTAGCTCATGATCGTTACAATATTTGATTTCTAAGAAACTATGTAAGAAATGTCTGATGGATCAACATGAACATCAGTCCGAATTCCTACATTAGGGTGATGGTAGCTCATGATCGTTACAATATTTGATTTCTAAGAAACTATGTAGGAAATGTCTGATGGATCAACATGAACAAACCATCAAAACGAGTTGCTATTCTTCTGTTGAACCATCATAAATCAGTCCGAATTCCTACATTAGGGTGATGGTTACTAATGTGAGTAGAATAGAGCAGATTGTCCCGTATCTCTATTTAAGGCTAGAAGGTTTACACGCAAACCGCGTTACAAACCTTTCTAGGTTTACATTAAAAGACTTTTGCTGAGTGAAAATAAACCTTATTTTGCTATTTGGGCTATTCTAACATTTGGTCAGTAAATACCTATTCTAACATTTTGAGGATAATGTGAAAATAAATATCAACTTGCTATTATAATTTTGCAGAATTATTTGAGTTAGACTTTTTTTGTTTGTGTAGTTATTATAAAAATTAATAAAAGTTACTTCAGCTCGTGTTTTAGTAGTTTAATCAGAACTCTAGTGCAAGTAGGACAATTGTCCCGCTTCAGAGGTATTCGAATTAACTTTTTTAATATATACCAAACATTTTTTCAGATACCATTTCCAGTATTGAAGCTTGCAAACCTTTCTATTTTATCATGTAGATTAAAGAGAAAAGAAGGCAGTAATCTTCCCATTTTCTAGGGGCCTTTGAAAAAGAAAATTCGCGAAGGGACTATTTAAATATTATAGAAGTATGTTTTTGACATTCCTCACCCTCTCTTGATTTCAGTCAGTGAGGTCACACCGGCGCAGCATCGATTCTCACTTTAAAAATGATTTGTTTCGCGTCTACCTATTATTCGTTTTTGAAGCTTATTTCTATGCATTCATTGTTTTCAATATTTATTTTTTTATTTTGGTGAAATTTTCTTCTTATCTGATAGCAAAAGTTTCACACCAATAGTCCCAGATATCAAAAAAATGTTTATTTTAACTCATCAAAAGCCTTTTAATATAAACCTAAAAAGGTTTTTTATGCGGTTTACGTTTGAACTTAAAAACCATATTTGTGACAATCTACTCTATTCTACGCACATTACCCTAATTGAAAACAACCTTCTATAAAAACCTTAAATCGAGGTTGACTTGGGGTTTTCAAAAATGAAAAAAATCCTTTCATAAAGCTAGTCTCAAGGTGAAAATAATCTTAAATCTAAGGTAATTAAAAGGTTTCTTTTTGAAAAGTTTCGTATGCTCAGCTAAAATCCACCTTGTCATGAAATTTTAATGGACAATGCAATTTGATCCTATCGCTAGTGTGACGTCAGCTAAAACGTCATTTAGGACCTAAGTGACCGTTTTATCTAAGTGACAATACCTTTAAAGAAAATTTTAAAAATAATTTTTAATACTTTTAGGATGAAAGGTTTGAAACTACAATATTTTTGCTTTATTGAAAAAGATGTTTAGTACAAACATTTTCGAGACAGTAAAAGGAAAATTCTGAAGCAAGGTTACATGCTTTTTGGGAGTCAAAATGTCAGCTTGCGTGGTATAGCAACCGGCAAGAATTATTATAAAACACAAAATGAGAAAACGTGATTTTCCGCGTTTTATTTCAGAATATATAAAAGTGACATCAAACGAATTATAAAATGTACAAGAAGAATTTATCCTGCTGTGAATAAAGAAACATTATGCTTTACGTTTCCTGTTAAGACATTTTTTTTAGAATTTCACCATTGAAATAGATACCATCTCGTAACTTTAAACAGAAAAGAAAAAGAAAAAATGTAC